ATATGAAACTGAAAAGTAACTTTAACTGAATAAAGGTTTTTTATGCCATGCTCTAAAGTATCATGATAAAAATAACCAATTTTTACCACATTTACAACAAATTATAAAATCATGTTATTGTTATTTTACCAAAATCTATTACTAATGAGTTTCGGTAAATGTTACCGCGTTTTTTGGTGTTCTGTAGAACCAGAAACACGAAAAATTTTACCATGTTCTGGTAGTTTTGATCATATTTTTTTCTTATCGTATCTAGAACTATGAACAGAATCCTTATAAAAATTAAGCATAAAAAAGATCAAATCAGCAACTATTTGAGTCGCAAATTTGGAAGCTTATTAAAAAAGTTTAGAAAGAAAATAATAATAGTCTCTTAGGTTAAATAAGCTTGAAACATATTTTTTTTTTATCTTATATTAATAATGTTTATAGCTTTAAAAATTTCAAACACTATTTTTTTAGTTTAAATGAACTTTTCTAGTCAATAAATCTTTTATTAAATTATTTTTTAGATGCACTATTTCTTCATTTAAAAGAGATGCCATAACATGACTAATTAAATTAACGAAATAAAATTTACATGTGACCGTTCAAATAGGAAATGTCCAGCAAGAAAAAAAAAAATTATGTAAACTGAAAAATTAAATATAAAGCAAATAATACCTTCCTCTTCATAAAGAATAATTCTTGATACGAAATATCTTAACATATTTAAAAATTAGCAATAAATTTTACAATTTTAAAAGTGATCGAAGCCTATTAAAGAAAAAAATAATGTCATTATTAGCTCAAAGCTCAAAAATAAAAAAAGAAAGTGTGGGAAAGAGGCAGACATTCAATTAATGAATATATATAACAATTTTAAGATTGATTAGCGCCTATAAAAGAAAAAACGTCTACATTATTAGATCAATAATAAAGAAACGTGTGGAAGAGAAGCAAAAATTTGAACAATGAATAAACTTACCAAATTTAAAATTGATCGAAGCCCAAGAAAGAGAAAACGGTGACATTATTAAGTTCAATAACAACAATAATAAAACGTGTGAAAGAGAAACAGAACTTAAAACAATAAGTAAATTTCATAATTTAAAAATTCATCGGAGCCTATAAAAAGAAACGATGACATTATTAGCTCCATAATAAAACGTGTGAAAGAGAAACAGAATTTAAAACAATAAATAAATTTCATAATTTAAAAATTCATCGGAGCCAATAAAAGTAAAAAAGATGACATTATTAACTCATTCATAAAAGATCGTGATAAGAAAATGCAAAATTTCGAACAATGAATAAATTTCGCAATTTTAAATATGATTGGAGCTTACAAAAAAAATAGCATTATTAATTCAATAATAAAATAACTCAACAAGTGAGAGAGGCAGTATTTCCAGCAATGAATACAAATTTTTCTTTGTGAAAAAAGTAAAAAAAAAAAAATGAGCTCTAGCCCTTGAATAGAAGAAGGAGGTTACTGACAACACTTTTAAATGGAAGAGATTTTAGGAAAAGTCTCTTATTTTCTAGAATAGAAAGGGTTCGATAAGTTTTAGTACATATCACTTGACATGTTTGAGGGTGGGTACATAGTTTAAAGCACTTCATCCATTGTTCGCAAATCTTTACTAGACAGTCTCCTTGTTGGGTACCCAAAGACCCTTTATGGAAGGAGGAGTCGAAGATGGGCTTCAGAATAAGCATCCCAAAAGTACCGTCCAGGCGCCAACAAGCAAATTTAAACGAGAAAGGGAAACCATAGTCAGTATATAAAAAGACTATCCAACAGGTCTTATTATGAAATTATAGCTAGTCTCAAGAAAGAGAGAGAACAAAAATGAAATGTTAATTTATGATAAGATTAAATATTAAAAGTTTGTTATTAATCTATGCTTCAAATTTTAATCAATACGAGTTAGCTTTAAATACCTCTCTCAAAAACTGATGGAAAACGAGGATGATTTGCCGTTATTTATTTTGATTTTACAGTTTTGTGCGTCATGTGTTTACTGTGCTTTGAATTCATGTATATTCTTTTCATTTTTTAGCAAAAAGTGTTGACAAGCGCTGCCAACACATGAAATTAATTGTTGGATATGCATTAAAAACACGATGTATTAATTTTTATCTCATACCTCTTATAGCATTTATAATTTGGGGAAATATTATTCGAATGATTAAACACAAAGAAACTTTGCCGATCTTTCTTTCTCTTTTTTTCTCTCTTCTTAAAGGATTTTTAAAAATCTCGAAAACGCGGCACATGAAATTATTTTCCATTAAGACCTGGAATTATTGTATCAGTGAGAAATATTAATGTTTGCTGACGTTGCCAATAAATAAACATAAACATATAAATTTATTTCCTCTGTTTTCCTTGGATTAATATCGCAGAGAGGTTTTATTTTTAATTGGACATTTTTTTTAAGAAAATAAATTATTTAACTTTTAGCGATATTCGTGCTAAACTTACAGAATATTTTGTGGTGAAAAAATCACATTATGACTAGAATTAGTAAATTAATCAATCTGTGCTATCACTGTTTACTTAATACATATTGTTTAATAACTACAAATGATAAAAAAAATAAAACTATTTAAAAGGTGAACCATTTTGATTTTTGTCCATAAGTATAGAACAAGATCCTTAATGTTACTAATAAATCCAAATCCATGTAATCGACAGTTTTATCAATCAATTGGAAATCTCATAAAATTGTTGCTAAAATAGTGGTTGAAGTTTTCAGTGAAAATGACAAAAAAACGCGTTGATTAAGAAAAAGATACAATGATTGAGCATCCTTTTTTCATTTAATTTACTTCAACAAATTTATAAATGGTCAGAAGGACTTGAATTACAAATAATTATTATTACAAATAATAGATAAATTAATAATGGACTCAAGATCATTTATAATGGACTCACATCTGACTTTTCGTTGTCAGTTAATTCTTCCTTTAATTTTGTGTTTTTTTTAAGTTAATATTTCTTTATCTTCACTTGTTAAAAAATATATGATTACAAAAGCGGCTTGTTATGAAATATTAAACTTGGATTTTTAATGCAATTTATGTACTATGTTTAGTTATGAAATAAAATTATGATCTTCAGTTTATCATGAAGCAACATAAGAATAAAACATATGCCCAAACTTGGAAAATATTTTTTATGAAATGAAATGAATCATTACATGGATATCTATAATAATATCTCTTCTACATCATATATTCATAATCACCATATGATAATTATAAATAAGTTAGAACTGTAAAGAATTTTCTGCCATTAAGAAAGAGGAACCTCGAGATACCTATTTTTTCCAGGTTTAAGTTAAAATTTAATTATTGCTTTCATCCTAAATAATATATTAATTTTTCACCTTAAAGCATTTAAAATTTACATTTTTAATTTTATTTTGCTTTGGCTTCTTTTTTTCCTCTAGTGTCAGCTAATTTATTTTCTTCATTAACCCACAATACGGATGAATTGCATGGTATAAGATGACCCCATCCCCTGATCGCTATAGCCCGTTGATCCCCCAGAACCGATTACGCAGTACATTTCAGAATTGCTTTATGATACCCGAGCTATTTTGGCTCCCTCTTTTTCACTCTAGTCTTTTTGAACACTACAGCTTTTTTTACTTATATATATTTTTTACACTTCATTTTAATTAAATTAGGGGCTACACCCCCTGCTAGCTAAAGCTCGCCAAACATCGGAAGTATTTGAGCAGTTCTTTTGATATTGTTCGTTATTCTGTGCTACAATTTAATTACACCAAAACTAATTAAAAATGTAATTAAACAAAGTAGTAGACTAAAATGTAACTTGCAATGATATTTAAATGTAAAACATACAATCTAAGAATTATTTTCATATTTCTTAACGTTAAAATCATTTTTTACATATTCTATGAAAAAGAAATCTTATAAATGATACTTATGACTACCCTGTAGTTATAAATCAAACTGGATAGCTATGAAATCAAATTAAGAACTTCAAATTATCACATTGCCGAAGAGGGTTAGAAATGCAACCATCACAAGAATAATACGTATGATCGATCATACTAAACAACTAGAATATGTAATTCGTATATGAACAATATTTATAATCGCCATATAATTACGGGATATAAATTCAGTAGCAACACATGACCGGCTAATAATATGTATAATTATGATTATAGCTAAACTACTTATGATCATCATAAGATAATAGGAAATAGTTAATACATAATTATCAAATAAATACCTAATCATACTATCATCTCTTAAGGTGACCAGACCTTCTTAAATCTTGAGGACAGTCCTCGAATTTCAATAGTTGCCCTCGGAAACTTTCCAACTCTTTGAGTACAGAAAATGTTCTCAAACTATAACATATGTCATCGAATTTCTACGAAAACTTTTCATACTTTTTATAAGTAGAGAAATATTAAAAAAGAAAGAAAAAAATAATCAGAAATGTACATGCTTTTCAAAATAGATAATTTTGTCTTACAGAGAAAACAAGCAAAAAGCAAACACGCATCGAAAACTAACATGATTTCAGCAAATAAACAAATCTTAATAATCAAATTATGTACTTATTCATTTTACATGCGTTAAGCAGATGTAGAATTTCAAAACTGTTTAGTAATAAAATTAAGTTGATAAAAATGATTCTTCGTCTGAAATTAGATAACAATTTTTAAAAAAAGATATCTTTGTTACAGTTATAAAATAATATTCTTCATAAATATATAGGTGTCCTCAAATCGTAAAATTTGTTAAGGACGCTAGCTTGACTTGCTCTCAAATCATGGTTTAGTAATCTGGTCACCTTAATTTAAGTACACATATTTACATGATCAATATTATGTATTGGTACATCATATGAATAAAAAAATTCTATTTCCATTTAAAGCAACGATTTATGATGACAATACATTATGCAAGTTGAATGAATAGTAAAGGTTTTTTTTTTATAGAATAAAAGGTATTTTGGAATTAGTTACCTGTTATGATCACGCCTTTCCTTGTAGGATCAATCTTTTTTATCAAAGCACACCGCCACTAAATAAAAAGGCATCCCTGGGTACCCAGCGTACCAACTCCGCGATAATTGTCGCCAGTAAGACGACGACTGATTTTCCACGAGTCCAGTTTGCCACATGAGGGTCGCTTCTTCACCACTACGATTGTTCTCTGGATCGGGAAAGTACGACTTCTCTCTCAGGATATGTTAAAGGGGGTTGAAGAACCTTTTCCTCCCCCTTCCTCAGAACCTGAACACACACCCCTCTCCACTACCAAACACAGGTGTGTGTCAAATTTTCGTGACCTGCGCCAAAACAGTCAAAAAAACCCTGAAGAATCCCAGAAAAGCACGATGGGTTGGCTATTTAATTCCAATCCTAAACAGCATCAGGCGGTAGACGTTTTTTTGGTGTTCAGGAATTTTTTGAAACTTGCTCTCACTTATCTTTGGATTAATTAAATTATCTGCAAAATATTGGTGGCATTAATCGAATATAGTGTACGTTTAAAAATGTATGGTAAATAAACTTTTGAGATTGTACCTCCTGGTTTAACTTCTGTGGGAGGCATAGATAAATCCTTCAGAAGGGCATTCAATGAAATGTCACAAACAATGCTGCAAACGCAAGAATTCCTAGAAATATTTTTCGATGCTTATAAACACAGATTTGGCGATTTTTCGCTTTCACAATAACTAATTGGCACTTTTAATAACTAACTGTGTCAAACTGATAGGCACTGAGAAGATTTATAATCCTTTCGGGTTCAGTATTTCTCCCCAACACTAAGTCGAGAAAGTACGCTGTCATCCAACGCTTAGATAAAGTAAGCTCGGTGATATATGTAAATATTTGTAAACAAAGATTTCACAGATAAACATCCGTAACGCTTGAGTTTTCTATCCACAAGGGGAAAAAAACACAATAATGCGGGTAGAGACGCACGTCGAGACGCACACCGTCGAGATCCATGATGTGCAAAATAAAACAGAAATCCACACTTGTTGCTTGATCTTCTTTTCGATACTGGAGAGTCAGTAAAGCTTGCTACTTTGGAATCTTAATTCACACTCTTTGACTGGCCAATAGCTGTCCTAGTTCGAGACGCATGCGCGAAGGAAAGAAGTTTTTCTTCGTCCATCCGACTCTTCCTCCTCCTCTCTCCCCCTCATCATTACTCTTCTCCCGCACGAGAAAAAGCCTTTGAGGTGAAGTTTTCTTCTGTATAAATGATTGCCACACGTCAGATATTCGAAGGACGTTCGTTTCTAAGATAAGAGCCGGAATATCGCGATCTTAACTATCAGCTTAATTTTGAGAGGAAGATTTGCGTATTATTTTTGCGTATTATTGGCTATTTGCGTATATTTCAATTTATCAGTTTAGCGATATTTCAACTAATTAACCCTTTGGATTACCGTGGTAACCCGGGTTCGAATCTCAGCGATGGCTGGAGGATTTGAATCAGTACCCGGCTCGCACTGATCACAGTGCTGATATAAAATATCCTCAGTGGTAGACAAATCATAGGTTAGAGTCCCCTTGCCATCCGGCTAACCGTGGGAGATTTTCATGGTTTTTCCTCTGTAAGTAACGTCAAATGTGAGTTAGTTTCATCAAAAGTCTTCCACAAAGGCAAATTTCTCCAATTACTTGATCCAGGAGCTTCCTGGATTGGGTGCAAAATTACACGACTACGGAGTTGAACATTGGTAGTCGTAAATTCAGAATTAGGTCGGTTGTTCAACGACGGTTATAAAAAAAAGGAGCCCTTGGGGGTCGTATTAGGTTGAAACAAAGTCAGACCTGCCAACTTTGAATCGCTTCAAAGTTGAATATTCCAAATGGTAGAGAAAAGACTATTGAGATACAATTGAAGTTTAAAATAATTTTATTAATTTTCCTGGACTTCAGTACACTAGTGTTTGATTAACTTGTGTTTACATGCATGATTGGTTAATTTATGAGGGTAGGTGTTTAAAATCATTTTAACTACATTTAAAAATTTAGCATTTAAAATTAAATATATAAATTGCATTATTTATACATATTATCTATTCATCAAAATATTACGAACAATCCTTAATGTTCGGATAGTTATCATAACCTTTGCATAGTTATCATAATGCTCAAAACTAGTTTTTGTTGAACGAACATAATATGCAGAGAACTGATGAAAAAAACTATTATTATTATTTAAGTAGGTGAAATGCTTTTACATAAAAGCACCATCTACCCTATATCTCGATGTATAAATAGACTTTTGAAACCCTCAAAATTTTACGATTGTTGACCTATACACCGGTAAAAAAAATCGAACATTCATTGATCTCGAAATATCGATGCATACTATATATAATATAATATAAATAATACTCTATATATAATAATATGAATAATACTCTATATATAATAATATAAATAATACTCTATATATAATAATATAAATAATAACGATATAAATAATACTCTATAAATATACCCTTTCAAAAACTATTCTTAATATGTTTTATAGTTTGCATTTTCTTGCATCATATTTTCCTTTATATGTAAAGGTTCTTTTAGGAGCAATACTTTAAATTACGTTCAGAAAAAAAAATCTATAAGAAATAGTAGCAAGTAAAGTTAATATAATTTATTTCAAGAGTATTCAAAAATATATGACGCAATGAAATTTTTTAAAGCAAACCGTAAAGCTACAAATGTAAAGATTCCAGAACATTACCTGTGTCGGATTCAATAATGTTGGCAGTGCTGTCATACGGATCCCACTCAGCAATTAATTCTACTTCCTTCTCATTTGCTGTTGCGCAAAAAGACATCTTCATCCCCCTCCAAAACATTCGAAATTCTACACTTTTTAAAAAAAATTTACAACAACACTATAGCATTTGAATTCACATTTGGAAACGCGTCTAGTATCATTTGACAAAATCCTACTAATGCCATAATGATACTCAGTGGTGCCAGATAGGAGGTCACGGGAGGTCAATTTTTTTACTATTAATATGTACAATTAATTTCTTTAAAAAACATAGGAGGAGGACACAAACTTTTGCTATTCGGAAAATTTTGCTTAGCCATTCAGCATTTTTACGCGAATTCATTTTTTTTTTTCATATTTTAATTAGAAAACGCAAAGGAAATTATGAATAACGCGTTTTATTTCATTTAAATTCCTAATTTATTTAAAATTTTAAAAAAATGTAAGGCTACAACAATTGGAGAGAAATAACAGCGGGCTTAGCCTTCAATGTAATTAGTATAAAATATAAAAAATATCGACATAAAAATTACGGTATTAAATAAAACTAATAAATATTAAACGGAAATATTAGGAATAAAGTCAAGTTTACTATATGTATATCTATTTTATTGTTCACTTTTTAAATTCTACAACTTAAGATATTTTAAATAAGTTCAGTAAATTTCTTATTACAATTAGTTTTTTATTCTCTTTTTTTTTAATTTTAAACTACTGAAACTATATTTTCATTTTAAAGCACGATTCTCAGAATACATGTTTTATTTCTATCCGGTTTTTGACGAGATTTCCCGATTACTAAAAAATGCGAATCATGAAAGAGTGAAAAATTGCCATCTTAACTGCGAACTAATTACTTTATTCTTTTATTATTTTTATATATTTAATAGTTCGTGATTTATTCCATTTATTGACTCGAATAAAAATAATAGCCCTTTTTGTGCCAGGGCTCCACTATTGTGGCAATGTGGTCAACATTGCGCACATCAGCCCTTGCTTCCCAGACAAACTGGTACACATCGATTTAAAGTTGGGTGGGTTTCAGGCCGCCGATGGCATTCGAACCCTAGTTCTTCACAATATTTCAGCCCATTGACCAATCGCAACTCATTGAGTAAGTAATTAAGCATTATGTCGTTAAATCAGGAATATATTGGTAAAAAAATTAACATATTGTGAAGATATTAGAAACAAAATAAAAAAAATTTTGAACTAATAAATTACATACTTTTTAATGATTCGGTCAAATTTAAAATTTCATCCTACAAAACGGGAATTCCCCCCCCCCTCAAAAATATAACTTCGCGGCACCCTCGATGATACCTGAGAAAATTTTGTAAACTGAATATTTTCTTTTTCATTTTAGAAGTGTTTCATTTTTTAGTGGTCTACTAATACGCCCGACATATCAGAAATGTTTACTATCCAGTGAACAGAAATAGGGAGTCAACTAATTCACCGGGACATTTTATTTTTATTTTATAATCGTTGTTGAACAGCAGACCCAATTTTATGGGTTTGCGACAACTAATGATCAACTCCATAGCCTTGTAATTTTGGATCCAAATTTGCCTTCGTGGAGAACTTTTTGATAGAGCTAACCCGCATTTGCGTTACATGGAGAGGAAGACCACGAGAACCTCCCACGGTTAGCCTAACGGCAAGGGGACTCTAACTCATGATCCGTTTACCACAGAGGATATTTCACGTCAGCACTGTGGTCGGTGCAAGCCGGATGCGGAATTCGTATCGACTGGGATTCGAGCCCGGTTCGCTGCACTGGTAGGCGAACGCTCTATCCTCTGAGCCATCGTAGCTCTCACCGGGATATTCCGTAAAAGGTCTTAGCGTACGTGAGCTTTGCTCGTTCCCCTCTTCCCCCTTTTCAGCCAAAAGAAGCAATTAACAAAATTCCTTGCCCCCCTCAGGCGCTTGCGTAACATTTTCACCGCTCTTGGTGGTCAAGAGTATATCGACGACTGAAAGGGTTAAAAAAAAGCTTCGATGGTCGATTGCAAAGGATTAAAATATTTTATTTACACTCCCTCAACAAATTAAGCTCTTACCTATTTTTAAAAAATAGAAACTGTTCATAAAAGATGTTACACTCTTACATGTTTTTTATTTTATTTTATTATTATTCCTCTTCTCCCTTTCCGCCAAGTGTCGCACTGCACTTCACAATCTGCCCCCCCCCCCCNGCCCCCCCCCCCCTTATCACAAGTCACCCTTTATTGCATTACATAGACTTGGAGTAATGAAACAAAGTAGAATATTATAGATTGATTTCAAATTTTATTTTCCAACTTTAACTATGTTTGTGATTTTGCCCAATTATTCACCTGATAACTTATAGAATCACGTCAACAAACATTAAACAGGAATTATTTAGAATCTTTTACTACTACGATTTTTTTCCGTGAAGAAAAAATTCATTCGTCCATCGAGCAAATGAACTAATTTAGTCTAAATCTTTAATTAAGGATTAATTTAAAGCTTAATCGGCATCGATGTTTATATTTGGAGTCTCATCGATCGAAAACCAATGAGAGTACATATTAATTGTAAGAAGTAAAAAAATATGTAAATAAATAATACAGAAATATTGGATACGTTGTTTTTAAATATTTTTTTAACTAAAATTTATTATGTCACACTCTTTTTAAAACTAATAAAAATTATTATAATTAAAACCAGCTAATAATTAAAACAAATAACAGAATATCGTTATACATAGAGGTTTAAGAGCTAACTAAATAATTATCTTTATTATATATCCTTTAGTTGGCTACAATGTAAATAGTATAACTAATTTCTGAATAAAAATAAACAGAAAATGTGTTCCGTTAGAACAATAATTCCACTATCACCTCTTTACAATATGAAAACATGCATGAAGTTTATATATACAGTGGAGCATCGTTTATACGACGATCACTTGTACTACGTTTACATTTATACGACGTTTTAGTGTGGTCCCAAATCATTCCTATTCATTTTAATGTAAAAATATATACAGTGGAGCATCGTTTATACGACGCCGAAGGGACCACCGAAAAACGTCGTATAAACGATAACGTCGTATAATCGATTTTTACTTTTAAAACTGAAACTAACTCTGTTTTCAGTTAATTTTAATGTTTAACGTGTTGATTTACATAAATTTCTAAATTAGACAAAGCAAAACAAACAAATAANCAGTCTTAAATGGTTTCATAGATATATTAGCATTAATCATTAAATACTGATTAATTAGGCAGTCACAAGATTTTTAATCATGAACACGAAACTGTATCCTCAGAATTCGGGAATTGCCTTGTTGATAATATTCTGATGAAAGATAAGAAACGGATTTGCTTAGTTATAAAGTAATTCAACTACTGTGAAAGAAGTACTTACTATTTGTACATAATACA